AAATAGTGTACCATTTTCCAATTTAAAGAATTATGTGATTTAATTACAGTAAACATGACTGTCAAAACCATAAAACTGCGCTATTAACATATAATGCTCATCACGACTACTTTTTCAAAAATAATTTTTTGTTAATAAAAAAAATAAAATAAATTCGTGTAATCCGTTTAGTTTAAAAATAGGTAATTTTTTTAACTAATAAAGATGTGATTTGTAAAAGTTTATTTTCATTGCATATAGTTTATTTTTATCGAAATTGGGTTAATTAGTGGCTTTAGTAATAATAAATTAGTGTACAAGTTAGAATAGATTCAATAGACCTCAATTAAGCTTTTAGCAAACATCTGCCTCGTTTAAAGTGTATTTTCCAATTTAATTGTGAGATATTTTCAAATGCAAGTTTTTATGTAATAGATACCGGAGGCATTTTTTTTTCATTTAACAAATGTACACATAAGACAATTGCTTAATTAAATAAATACGTCATTTTCAATTGTACGAAAAATATTAATTAAAAGAGATTACTTTTACCAGTTACATTTTGCAAACTTATTAAACAATGTCAACATTTTTTTCAATTTTTAGATTTTATCTTTGACCAAATTAATTAACACATCAACTGCGTAAAATAAATGAACGTTGTAGCAAGAAGAACGTTAAATAAATGAAAGCCAAGAAGAAAATTGAATTTTATTATTGTTCCAGGCGTTCCTCCTTAAGTTAATTCAACGTTAAAATAACTGCCAGTTTGAATTTTTACGCGACGCCGGATTGGTTGTTGTCTACTATTTAAGCATTTTGTCCACTGAAAGATTAGAAGTTTAATTTGTGTGTTGGTACTCAATTTTATGGGATTTTCGTGGATTTTCAAAATAAAAACTTAGTCTCATTTTCTCTCGAGTGTAAAATTGGTCGAACTGCGCCCCCTCATAAAGAAAGTCCCTAATAAAATGAAAACTCTAGATCAACTAAAGTTAAGTTTATGATACCCATATAGTAGCGCCATCCATGTTAAGCAGAAGATACATGTATCGACAGGATAAACCTCTAAATTGAGATATTCTTGAAAACTGTCATAAAATACCTAATGTTCGCCACCATACACATTTAAACATCAAGCAAAGATAATAATGATAATCGTATTAAATAGTTCGTTGATTAAAACGGAGTTGTTTGCTCCATAAGACATCTTTCCAGTGTATAAGTTTTTACGTTAAAATATCAGGTTCTTGTGCGATATTTTACAGTTATGCCCTAGAATTTATCAAAACACATCACACAAACATAATTTTTTTCTATTTCTAACGAAATAAACACGATTTCAATCTCAACACACTAAAACCAATGAATGAAAATTAAATAATCATATAGAGCAACATTATATTTCAATTATCAGGAGATATGTAGTAATTTTTGTAATTTACATAAAATAATGTGTAAACATAAATACGTTGCCATTTTTTTTACATAAAAAAACCTACCTATACCTCATCTAAATGTGTAGAGCGCCATCTGTGTTTTAAAAGTCCTAATCTCCTATTACATCATTTATTACGAAACTGAAACCACATAGGACATAGGCAACTTTCAATACACTCAATATCAAGGTTTGCGTCTGAAGTAAACGTCAAAATCATGTTCAATGGCTGTGGTTGTGTTAGAAAACAATAACAAAATATTGACTTTCTTTGAATATGGAATCTGAAGAGGGTTCACCTTCACCACCTCCGCCTTCAGATCCGCCTCCCAGTTTGCCGCCTCCTTTGCCAGCTGTAAGTCATTCGAATAAAAACCTTTTTCTTAGAAAATTGCATTATAGAGGCCACGCAAAACGACCCCCCAACCTCCCATTCCTGTCCAGGAAGACAATCATTTTGGTAATGAACCTGAGGTCGACGTTGACGATGAAATCTCGCAGCAAATGACAGCTTCTTATAGTGAAATCTCATTCAAGTCAGGTGTTAGTCCCGAAAATGAAGCCCCCTTGTCTTTAACAATGGATCCAATACCCTTGGCTGAGCATATAATGCAAAGACCGGTTACTTTGAGTTGTGACAGGAATATTCCATCTTGTAAACCTTTAAGGCCTTTAAATTTGGAGGGGACTGTACATGTGGAGGGTAATATGACGCATTTTGTTGCTGAGGATTTAGAGTATAAAATTAAATTGTCTAGTCCTGTTACTAAGAAAGGAGGTAGGGGTTAAAACTGGAGGAGAGAATATTTTAGATAGGTATGGTTCTTGCAGATACACCTCCTCTACCAGGAGGTTCTAGGAGTTGCACTCCCAGCACCCTCTATAGGCAACTACTAGTACCGCAAATTGGCCAACTTGATCAAGGACTCTTAAATGACCTCGAATGTGAGGCCCAAAAAATGGCTACTTCTATTGATAACTTAACCGAAAATTTATGTGGAATTTTACATTCTGTATTAATAACTGCAGCTGTCTTCACATTTTTTTCTTATATTGTAACTTTGCAGATTTCTTCAATCACTGCTGATAATGTAGATGTTTATAAAAATGCAGTTTCCAAAATGTCAGATGCTATGGATTCAAATATTAAAGTACTAAAATTAAGTCTTTGTTTGTATTGGAGATAATTGTGATTTTTTAGAGTATGTACACGATGATGGCAAAAACGGAAGAAGTTACACAAGCCATGAAATCGGTCCATAGTCATGCTGCCAGGATGTATCCTTTTTATTTTTTACTTCTTTACACTAAAATTTTTCTACATTTCCTTAATTTATTTTACAGAAAGGAAATAAAAAGGTTAGTGGACCTTTTTGAAAGTTACGTTTGAAGTAGGTACATTTACGTACTTCATTTAATTATTATGTTAACAAGTGACCAGCAAAATGATGCCTAAGAACAAAAAATGTATTTCTGTTTCTAATCTAAAGGTTAATTTGTTGGTGCCGTTTCTTACCGTTGATTCTTGATATTTTATGTGCTTGTTATTGTTAAGTTCAACAGTATTGTTATCAGTGGAGAATGTTTTTACCGAGTTATCAAATGTGTTTAGCTATTTTTATAAATAAAGTTCTGTCACTGAAAAGATTTATTTACGTGCCACAATTTCAAAGTTGCAGGTTGCGCTAGTGGAGTACAGACTACAGAGACGGTTTTAAACCCGGATGGGTAGGCAAAGCTGCTCTCTGGTGTAGTTATGCTGAACTACATTAAATGAAATTTGATTCTCAAAATTAAATTAAGTCATATATTTCAATTATGTTAAAAATTTAATATGTGAGAAGTTTAAGGCGGGGTTATAAATCTTGTAATTACTCAATGTGGGAGAATAGAGAATAATTGCGGCATTGCTATTTTCCGTTACTGCAATTTTTTGTAAATGTTGCGAGAAATTGCATAACGGCTTGTATCATAAATTAGTCAGGTAGTGGAAATTGTGTTCCAGTGCAGCACAGGCAAACAATTTCTTTTATGATGTTTTAAGCATCACGTCACGGTTGTGCGGCTATAAATCTGTTGATCAGACTTTACGCCTTTAAATTATATAATAACGATTTCCTTCTCGTATTAAATAAAACAAAAGTCCTTCCAATAATAAATCTTTTCCAAAGCAGGCAAAACTGCGGATGATGAATATGTTTCAGTAACATTCATTAATTTTATTTTCGGAGGCTGTATGTTTGGCCATTCGTGGATTTTAGTTGATTAAGTAGACTGAAAAATGGCCAAAAATGATTTCTGTGTGTTTACGTATTGCGGTGGTAGGTGACGGCGATTAGCCAGCGCAATTCATTAAGTACGCGTTTAAACACAGATAACGATAATGAATGACTTCGGTGATAAATTTTCTTCAGTATTGTTACAAATAGTGAATTTTGGTGAAGAACCTAATTAGAGGGAGATCTTTAAAGAAATCACCGACTTGTTATTGAATCAGATTAAAAAGAGGTTTTTCATCTGACAATTGTCCCAAACTCATTTCCCACGACGAAGTAATTTAAAAGCCGCCATTCTGGGAGCAACTTATTGTAACAGTGACATTTCCAATTCGTCGAAGTCTTTTTTAAAGAAATGAAAAACTGCGCTGCTTGAACACAATTTCATTTTTTCTATGGTCATCACGTAAATCGACAGAGATTGTGTCATTTCCCTTGTTCCTCTACACGATATTTCGCTAAATGTTTCGTAAGGCACGTCTTTTTTTCTTTCCATGCAGTGCACTTTGTTAATAATGCCTTTACACGCACTGTTTCCAAAGCTCTTACATAAAATGGAACTCGTGTGCGTGTAATTTAGAAACAACACCTACAAGAAATGATACCTTGATATAAAAGATACTTTTCTTCGTAGTTCCCGTAATAATATTTACTTTGTTGAGAATATTTTGATTATTTATTGTTGGTTTATGCAGACTGTAGACTTTTCCGTTGCTGCTTATCATATAAATCGGAAACTAGCAAGACGTGTGGTGCGTTCTTAGGATATTATAACAGGAAGTACATTGAAATAAACGAATTGTTTTGACAGGTTACATCATTCTTGTTATCGAAACACGAGACTGAATATCAACACAACTACAGGGGACGGAAAGATAAGATCACTTAAAAATTACATTTTTTGCTTTTAAACTTATTTTAGATAAAAAATATGATTGATTTTACTTTTATTTATAGTCAAGTCGCAAACAGCGATATAAACAAACCGCGTCTTTTGCTGAAAGGGGGAAGATTTATGACCGTTTTGTCATGACAAAAATCTATTTCAGTAAACAGTCCAACCCCCGATTTTATGGTTAGTGAATTATTTAACCCCTCTTCTATTTTCTCACAGTAAATCTACACAAACACAATGTTGACCTTAAAAAGGGGTGCTAAATTGACAATATTTAATAAGAATTCAAAAGATGCTTTCAACATTTTAACAGAACTCATAAATTAAATTAGCTTTCGAAATGTAAAATTGTTAAGTGTTTCTATTATGTAGAGATTGTAATTTTGATTGTCGCGTACACTAAATAGGAAGAAGCTTTTCCGACTTTCTTTGTGCAAATCGGGTATTTAGAACAAAGTACCCGTTACACCTTCTTTTCAAAAAGGCTTCTATCAAAATGCTGATTAAATCTGTCCTTGTTTACATTTTCTGAAGAGTGACTAGTGTTTACAAATTCATTTTCATCGCCTCTGTAACCTCTCTGTGATTAAAAAGAGTCTTAATTAAATATTAATAAAAGGACTTGTATGTTTCCATATGCAACAAAAATAAAAAAAATCTTCTAGGTTTTTTTTCCTAGACGACTTTTCAGTAAAGCAACAATAGTCTTAGGAAAATCAAAGAAAAACATGGAGTCTTATAGCCTTACAAAAAATACAAGAAAACGGTACATCAAAGCAGATTTTTTTAGTTTATCCGAGAGGCAGACGTTGCTCTTTCATTTTTTAATTCAATTTTTTTAACTACATTTTTTACGTTTTTCGTTTACTTCCTGGACAAAATACACACAACCTTGTATTTACATTTCTTTGTTTCTAATCAAGGGTTGTATGGTTTAGCAATGCGCAAAATTCGTTTTGATATCGAAAATTGTGTGAAATTTTTTTGGCTAGTTTAAAAATTGCTTATCTATAAGGAGCCTATTCATAGGTCTACGACGGTTGATCGATATTGGGAAGCAGACGTGTGTTGATGAGATGATAATGCATGTGCTCGCAGCTCAACTGGGGTCGTCTCCACATTGTGGGCAAGGTTGGGTCATTACCATACTTCATTGAAAGTGGCGTGTAAGCGAATATCTCGTAAGCATTTGGGCGAGAGTTGGGTTGGGGCCCATGCCCAACTTCCCATTACCGATTACACAATGGTGTTTAATAAAGTGTGTGATATATGTAGCGTGAACCGTCACCAGCGACAGAGGCGTCGGTCAGTAAGTACGGCCCGCTGAACAAATCGACGCTCGACAAACTGGCGCCCTACTTTATTATCGGAATTATATGAAAATTATACTTCTCATTACGTCTATTTGCAAAACAATCTAATTGGGACTTGAATTATGCCTGCAATCTAAACACATTAACAACCCCCAAGAAGAAACTACCACTAATGACACCCGTGCCAAGTGCAATCAATACCAACGTCTATATTATAATGAACATCACCATTACCTAAACCTTATTAATAACAAATTTAGGTAATACATATTTTGCACTTTTCCACCCATCTGAGCTTTAAAAGTTCAAATCGATTAACGAAATTGTAATCGACATGATCACATTAATTGACTTAAATCATCAAATGAAAGACACTCATTTCATTTCCATTAACGTACGAATTAAATTCTCTTGCTACTTTTGTCGTTAATTCAGTTAATTCCACGTTTAATTTGATTCATTTATATTTCTATAATCTGAGAATTGGGAAATATTTTTGTAAATTTGGTTTGGTAAAAAATAAGCTTTCTCTACTCCACTCCAACAGTGAGAAGATTTATAGCAAGCTATTAAAATTGTTTGCGTTTTGGTTAAGTAAATACATATTTTTCGCAATTATGGCTTGAGAATGGTGTGTTTTTTCGTGTGAGCTTTGGCGTTGATGTTATTATTTATGCTTTTGAATGTACATTGAGTCTGCCCAAGCAATTTAAATAATTTTACATTCCCTTGGTCCGTTAGTCTCACCCCAAATTAATTCCACACCTCAACAAATGAAAAATAAATTAGTCGAACCGGCGCATCCACCATTTTTTTACCTAGCAAATTTAACTTAGTACGAAATGTTCTGGTAGACGTAATAGATTTATTAAGGAGACGATATGAATATAAAATGAGGGATCCAACGATTATTTAAATTGACGAAGTTGATGTATTTTGAGTTGATAAAAATAATAGCTCGGAGAAGCTTTATTGTACCGTTTTGCATGGAAATAAATTGCTAAGAGCCAATTAGTAGCGTTGTTTAAAGGTATCTAATAATTGGCACAATTGTTTGTTTAAAAATCTTTGCTTGATGTATTGCTGTAATTGTGTGCTCTAATCAAGCTCCATGCTGCCAATATACACAACGACTGTTGATGTTTAATAGTTGCAGTTTACAAGGTCTTGATTATTCAAGCTTTAAACAAGATTAAAAATTACCATATTATATATTTTCTAAAAGGACACAGCTGTTTTCGCGCGCCGAAGACGTTAGGGAAGTTATTAGAAAATTATGATATTAAAACCGAGACAGTTACAAGTAGTGCAACTCTTGTTAAATGATAAAGCGGAAGTGCAATTTCAACCAAGCCATTTTGTTGCTTGTTTTCCACTTTTAATTAAACCACGACTGATTACGCACGTTTCATTTTAAACAGATTACATGCATTTGCGCATAAAAGCAAATTTTATGCATATTTAAGTAGCGTCAGAGCGTCGAAAGTGAACGCTCGTTCCAAATTTAAAAAATAATCGTGCTGTCCTGAAAAGATGGAAATAATATTTTCATGTAAAGTGCCACAACAACGCCCTCCAATTTTGCCACAAGCTTGGGTCCAAAAGTAAGTTTTTTTGTTGATTTTGAGACAACATATGCACACTGGGGTTTAAGCCGCGTAAACGCGATGAATTATTGGTGTTGGCGTTGGTGTTTAAGCACTTAAAACACTCAGTGTAATGAAAGGTATCTCCGCTTTTGCAGATAGCTTAAACCGGGATAGTCTAAACTAAGATATATTAGTCTGGTTGCCAAAAAGTGGCGATCTGATGTGTGCGATTTCGGGACGGGTTGTTCCTATTGGTTGCTGGTGCTGGGAATAGGAATGAATATTGCAGGGGGCGCGATAGTTGCGTTATATTGGATTTGAATGAGACATTTTTATGGTAAACATACATCGTGATTAGGATTGTTGGCTACTGAACGTCAATATTTGAGGAAGTTTCATCCCTATCGAGATAAACAAGCCATTATCTTGAACTGCTGCAGCCGCCGTGAAAGCAGTCCATTTTCCAGTTCTCTTATCACATTCCCGCAGAATAGCACGCGTCCTGAAATAAGCTTAATCACTTATAAAACCGTTTAATCCGTAATTACTTAATCAGAATTAATCAAACGAAT